TGTACGTAATTTTAAATATTTGTAGTTACCCTGTTATGTCTTATCTAGGAGTTTTATTGATGAGCATTCATTAAAAGTGAATATTAACTCCTTTATTTTGAAAGAATAATACCTAGGAAATGTTTCTTCCTGTGGCTCAAAGTGAAATCTCTCCCACTCTCACTCCCACTACCAGTTCATTTCATCACACTCACTGTTGGGTAGAAACACTCCAAAGACTACCCAGAGTCATAGATGGAAATCACTTGGGTGTTCCATATTTTAAAGATCTTGCTGCTATCAAATGAACAGGAGTAGAATATTCCTTATGAGAACTGAATGTAGAAGAATCTCAGGTATTATAATTCCAATTTGAAGGCTAGAATGTTAGAAAATACTCGACTTTATAAGTCCAGTGGATTTAAAACCAGGAGGGGTGGCAAAAACTCAGGTAGAGCCTTATAGAGTGTTCATCACAAAATTCCTTTCTAGTATTGTGCAGCAAAAGGGTTCATGTTAACTTATCATTTAGTCTTAATACTTTTCAAAACAGGAATCCTGGGGAATTCTGTAACACTTTAATCTCCAAGGACAAGGACAAGATAGAGCTAAGTTAGATATGATCTTTACTTGTGAGGAATTTATAGTCTAAGAACAGAGTAAACTTAAGGAGTCCAGTCAGCTAGAATGAGGAAGAATGTGGTCCGTGCCATAAGAGAGACACCGTATTGGGCACTTGGTAAGAGGACAGGCTCTAGAGTCAGACTGCCTAGTTTGCACAATGGCTCGATCATCTATTAGCTACATGAAGTTGTGTGAGTTAAATTACTTAACCTTTCTCTACACCCATTACCCTATCTGTAGGATGGGAATAGCAGTATCTTCTCCCAGAGGGATTCAGACAACAATAATTAAGAGGTATTTGCCTCTGTGAATCACTTCAGTGCAGTCATGTTTGAGTGTGGGTTTGTACTCAGTGTTCATTCCTGATGAGTTAGAGGCTTATGTTGAAGTCAGTACCTAGTGTCTACTTCCGGCCCCTTAAAAACTCTAGCCACCACTCTACTTCTTTGTGCTTTAGATTACTTCTCCACTTAAATGAATATAAGAAGTTCTATGGAAGCAGGAACATTAGCAGTCTTATTTTCTAAAACACAGCCTGGCACATAATAGGTACTGGACAGATGTTGGTTTAGCACAATTCAGGGATATTTTTGAAAGTGATGAAGACTTATGTGATTTTGAGAAGGAACTATAAGTACGCTGCAAAAATTATTGGCTTTCCTTGTTAAGATTTTCAAGGAATCCAGGCCTGGTGGCACAGGCCTGTAATCCCAGGACTCAGGAGGCTGAGGGAGGAGGATCACTGTGGGTCTGAGGCCAGCCTGAGCTATGTATTGACGTCCTGTTTCAACCCCCTCCCCCAAAAAGATTCCCAAGGTAGATTAAAAAATGGTAGTCTACAGTTTTTTGTCAGGATCTATGCATGAGATGTGGAGTCTGAAGATCTCCTCTGAAGTCATGGCTCAACCAATTAAGGCTTAACGTCAAGTAATTTAACTTGTATGGGCTTCATTTCCTTCATCAGCATGTTGACTTGTCATTTGTGCTTAGAGTAGTTTTTGAGATAGTATGCACAAGGCCTTGGGTTTGACTCCAAACACCACAGTGGAAAAGAGAGAGAGAGAGAGAGAGAGAGAGAGAGAGAGAGAGAGAGAGAGAAAGAGAGAAAGAAAATAGTGTGTTTGTTAGTGATCCAAAGATCAATGCAATGCAAGCACATGGAAATTGTGAATGCCGTAAAGTACAAATGCACTGAGAAGTGACAACTGTTCATGCTCTACACTGGAGGACTATAAATCAGGAAAAGCAAAGCTATTCTTTTTACTCACATGTAAGGCAGTGAAGATAAGTTTGTACTGTCCCTCAGGTAAGGTTGACCTCCTAAGGACATGGAGGAAACTGGCAAGTCTTCTTTGTACATAGCCGAGCAGAGTTGCATGAGAGGACTTCCCATCCCTACCCATACCAACTCCCTTTAGTTGTTACACCTCATTTTGTCTGAGCCCATCCTCCAGTCCAAAGGAAGACATATGCTGGCTAGAACTGCTTTGAGGAATTAGTCCTCCCAGGTTAAAGACCCCCCCCCCAAAAAAAATCCCTCTTCTCCCATTGCTAATGCTACATAAATTTCAAAGATTTCATGTATCAGAGGCCAGTTCTTGCTTGCATTTTTTCATTTGTAAAAGTTCAAAACTCAAGTTTATTATTTATCATCCATGTCTATATTTGATGGACCTCTGTAGAAAAATCTCCAAATCCTTGCTGTTTATATTCTGAGCAAATCTTCAATCTTTCCGTATACTAAGTTTTTGGCTGTTTTTCCCTCAAGTGTGTTCAGACATCCTATATAATTTTGTTGTATGATTAAATTTGAATATAAACTTACCAACTCCCAGAACATACTCTTTTAGAGTACTTTTCATAAGTCACTAAGCCACTTACAGTACGTAAACTGAATTACTCTTGGAATTTAACTTAGTAGCTAACACTACTAAGAAGATTTTGTGTCTAAGGAAAATCTAAGAAGCTCGAAGCGGCCATTCCCATCACTCACCAGTCTTTTATTTTTGGTTGTCATGCTTGCTTGAATTTTTTTAAAAAATATTACTGCTTTATTGAGACATAATTCAGATACTACCCAATCCATTCATTTGAAGTATACAATTCTAAGAATAGGTTCTAGTATATTAAAAAGATTGTGCAACCATCACAGCTCTCTAATTCCAAAACATTTTAATCACACCCAAAGGAGACCTCAAACCCATTAAACAGTCATTTCCTTTTTCTTTCCTCCCCCTAACTCCTGGCAACCACTAATCTACTTTCTGTCTGAGTGGATTTGGCTATTCTGGACACTTCACATAAGTGGAACATGAAATATGTGGCTTTTATGACTGGGTTATTTCACTAACAATAATGTTTTCAAGGTTCATCCAATTCCTTTCAGTGGTGGAAAAAATGTTCTACTGTGTGGAATACCACATTTTGTTTATCCATTCACCTGTTAATGGACACTTGGGTTGTTTCTACCTTTTGACTATGTGAATAATGGTGCTGCAAACATTACTGTACAAGGATTTGTTTCAGTTATTTGGGGTATATACTGAAGTATGGAAGTGCTAAGTCATGTAGCAACTCTATTTAACATTTTGAGAAACTGGCAGACTGTTTGCCAACTGCACTGTTTTATATTCCCACGACAATTTATGAAGATTCCAATTTTTCCAGTGTTTCTATTTTAATGCAGCTATCCTCATGGTTATAAAGTGGCATCTCATTGTGGTTTAGACTTGCATTTCTGCCATCAGGCTATTTTTTATTAATGATTTTTGAGATGTTATTTCTCTGACAACTTAGCCCCCTAGAACATAGTTTGGCCTGTGATAGAATGTAAAATGGCCCTTGAAGCAGTGACAGCAGTCATAGAACTTCTGTAGGAAAGCTTGTACCTTGCCCCTCAGGTCCCTCATGCAGTAATTAACTCTTACTGGACATTCATGACTGGCCATTAGGTTTGCCAGAAAGGAAGTAGAAAATTCACAGTGACAGATATTGGGGCAGTAAGAGAAGTGACAGAAGTTACCACCAACTGCCACTGAAGGAGAACTATAATATTTGCCAAGATGTTAATGATTCCAAGTCTTTACCCAGAGGCTAGCATATCTTCAATAAGTTTTAAGAAGGGAAAGCTACTTGTAATACAATTTAGAAAGATTTTCATGAAGAATGATTCAGAGAATATGTTTTATTCTTGAATAGATAAGCTTTGAATTTTCCAGGTGATTAATTTCCCAGTGATACCTGAAAAATCAGTTGATAATGAATTTCCTCTTGTATATAGAAAAGAAAGACACAGGCTGTATAAAGTTATTGAAAAAATTGTTTAAAAATAAAATATTTTGAAGAATTTTCATATCACTTTTTGATAATATTAGCAATTAGTTGATGTGACTAATACTCAGAACTTACTTTGGCTTTATTGTTATTTTGGTATGTGTTCATGCCATATGGCCTATAAATTAACTTCCACGAATCTTCAGTTAGGTTGCTTGACTCTGCTGTTGATACTGGGTTAAACTGCAAACCTTAAAGCTGCACAATATTAAATGTATTACTGAACAGTGCTTTCTGTCTTATTTGTGTATGCGGAAATCTTTCAAATTGTTCCAGTTTCTCTTCATAGAGACTAAGAAGCAGACTCAGAAAAAAAATAAAACAATCCAGGCTCTTTTCAAAGAATTTTTTTTATCTGAAGTACATTTTACACTGCCATCTTCCACCCTACCTTATATACAGTGAGTCTCCAGCTAGTCATGTGATAATTGTTTCATGAGATTATCAATGATTACATTTTCAATACACAAGTTGCCTCTTCAAACAACTTAAAGTTTCATAGTAATTCCTGATTTCTAGATTTTGATCAGATAATAAAACCATTAATCAGACCATAATAAGGTTAGTTGAAAGATAGGTCACTGGTAACCGCTAAAAACTGGGCACACACGAATGGATTGTGAATGTGTAAGGGGCTGTCATGTTAAGCTATGACAGTGGTGGCAAACCTATGGCACGAGTGGCCCAGCCAGCTGTTTGTTATCATTGAAACCTCTAAAAGGTTTGCCATCACTAATATGTCATTTTCTGCATAGTGGATACAAAAATGAATTCCTACACAAAACAGAAAAAAATAAACAATCATTTTTAAAACTGGGTTTTTGCTCAGTTTTGTAGTACAAAAGTAAATCTAAGCAGTTGCTTCCTCTTCCTGTGCACAATTTTACACTGAGAAATGCCCTCTTTATTATCAATAGCTGACTGTAGATCTTATTATGTTGCACTGTCTGTGTCTAAATGCTTCCTGTATTAGATAGTATATGATTACTTTTCTCTCCAAATCTAGAGTTTGAAAAGGAAGCATTGTCATATTTTAGCTAATTTTATTTATTTTTTTCTTGCAGGTTCTGAAAAGTGCCTTTTCTGAAAACTCTGCCGCTTGGATTCTACTCTAGAACTGTCTCTTTACCAACCCCTCTGCCAGTCATTCCCTTCCCCACTCCCTGTCCCTGTCCCCTAAGAAACCTGATGTGCTCGTAATTCACTGTCAGCAACCTGTGCATTTATTTTTTCTGTGATTCTCAGTTTCCTTAGTCACTTTCCCTCCCCTTGATTTTGCAGCAAAACTTTTTTTAGGTTGAAACATCCTCCTCAGTCTTACTCTTTATTAAAAAAAAAGCTAAGAAATAGGAAGAAAAATTTTCTCTCCCTGACCTGAGACCATTGCATTAATTGAGGGGCAGCCAGCAAGCTAGCCATTCCACCAAAGCAACCTGCCATCTCTTCTCATTGAACTCAAATTCACTTTTAATCCTTTCACAATCAGTAGTGATATTGTCCTAAAAAGTGTGCACTTGATTTACATTTTGCTTGCAATATGACGGCTGTCAATGTTACCCTGATTCGTGATACCAAGTGGCTGACTTTAGAGGTCTGCAGAGAATTTCAGAGAGGAACTTGCTCTCGAGGTGATGCAGATTGCAAGTTTGCCCATCCACCAAGAGTTTGCCATGTGGAAAATGGTCGTGTGGTGGCCTGTTTTGATTCTCTAAAGGTGAGCGCCATCTGAATGCATGGAATTTCAATTTGTTGGTTTCTGTTTTTTGAAATGCTATATGTTGTGAAATGAGTAAAATTTACAACAGCCTGAAATTGGTAAGTTTCGTTTTTAAGGCAGGATGTAGACTTTGTAGAACTACACCAGTCTAACCCTCACTCCATCACAGCCCACTTAGCAAGATAGATAAACTTAAAAAATAAAAATTTAAGAATGTTTGTAGGAGTGAGTGATTACAGCAGTCTTACTATCGCTTACCTTTTGGTATAGGATTTATATGTTGAATTTAGTGATCAAAATCTTTTTATAACCTAGAGAATCCCTTCAATGAATTATGGTATATGTTATTATTCATAACACCAAAATACACTTAGCAAGGACCAACCAGCTTTCAGAAGATAAACAAAGTCAGACTGAGAGAGTACCAGGTGAACATCTTACCATTCTGGAGGAAAATTACGGCATTTAGAACATTTTTAGTAAAAGTATATTTTGAACCTTTAACTTAAATATAATACTACAAAACTAGGTTCACTTAATTTTCCTTGTGAACAAATGATTGACCGATTTAAGACTTGTGCATACATATGGTAAGAAAAGTCCTATTGCTAAGGTTGAAAAAATTGACTATTATGTACCAGACTATAAACAAAATATGCAGACAGATGAAGTATTATAGAGAGATGAAGTATTATGAAGAATTGGAAGTATATGCTTATAATACAAGAAATTGCACTGGTTTTCATGTTTTGTGTTTCATAAATAGTTATCCTTAAACTAAGGCTAAAGATGTACAAATTCAAACATAGAAGCAAAAATAGTAATGATTCTTGATTTAATTAATAAGACTTGCTATGATGCATTTGAGATTTTTTTCAGAATGCATCACAAAATGAGTTAAGCTTAAAAGAACCCTTTTGATTTATTAATACCATTTTACCTCATGATGACCAATTTTCCCTTGTTAATAATTTATGACTGTATTGGTTTGCATAATAACTTTCTAAGAAAAACATTTTCGCAAATGCCAAACTACAGGTTGAGTATCCCTTTTCTGAAATGCTTAAGACAAGAAGTGTTTCAGCTTTCAGAGCTTTTAGATTTTGAAATATTTCCATATAAACAATGAGATATCTTGAGGATGGGACCTAAGTCTAAATATGAAATCAATTTGTTTCATGTATACTTTATACCAAGTCTGAATGTAATTTTGTACAATATGTTAATGTGCCCTCAATTTACCATGACTTGTCACATAAGATCAGGTGCAGAATTTTCTACTTGTGGCATCATATCAGTGTTCAGAGTGTTTCAGATTTGGGAGAACTTTGGATTTTCAGATTAGGGATGCTTAACATATGCTTAAGTAGTTGAGTTTCTTTATCCTGTCCAAGACAGGTTTAGCATCTATATGACGCCATATATTTTAGGTCGGTGTTCCCATTTAAAGATGAAGAAGCACCATAAACTAAACATTTTGAAGAAAATAATATGGAAGAAGATTGCTTATAAAATCCATACTGCACTTTAAAGCTTAGAAAATGTTTAATTCAGAGACAAAATAGATAATGGCTAATAAATATCAATAAACCACTGAATTATTTAAATAAGCTGTCTGGTCACTGTATCTCATATTTTAAAAAAATATTTTGTGCATTATGTTAATAATGATGACCAGTCACACAGGATAAAGAAGATATGCATAATCCCCACATTCTCAAATTTTTAATGAAAACCTTAATATTTCAAACACGCAAACCCTTTCAAACAATTGCTTAATTTGCCATTTAGATAGCACATTATCAGAGTACCATGTCTGCACAAAAGCACTGTAGTCCTCTTTTGTGTTATTTCTCATCTGTGATATGCATGAAAGCTATACTAAGCTGAGGGTAATTGACCTATGAGGATTGGACTCTTGTCATATCTACAATACACAAAGATCATACCTTAACGGTTGCTGCAGCATTTGCTACCTCTCTTGAGTTTGTATAATTGAAATACCATTAAAATCCATCTGTGTACTATTTCTTCTACAAATGGTCCAATAACCAAAGCAATCATTTGATGAGTTTTGGGCTGCAGCTTTTGTTTTCTGTTTTGTTTTATTTTTGTAAGGATTCCATTAGCATTAGCTACTCTACCAGATGATGGTTCTTTGCCTTTATAATAGGTACAATAGACACAGTGTCCTATACTCACCTCATAATGAGGAAATGTTAGGAAAATAAGGATGAGCCAGATAGCTGATTGTGCATTGTGCTGAAGTGCTGTGCCCATCTCTCCATGAATTTTGAGTATTTGGTAATGAAGACTGCACCATCTTTAGACAGAAATCTAGAGAGTACAGCCAGTAGATTAATTTCCAACTACATAGAAGAGTCTTGTGTCATGTTGTTATGCAGCTGTTTTCGTCTCAATTGCCTAGTCTGCTTGGTACAGTTTATTTCAAAAGTTCTCTTCAAAGTATAAGATAATCTTTTTAGGCAAATTTCTTGATGTTACAGTTTGCTATTTATCTAGGTTGGTATTTCTAGTGAATGTCCCTTAGATTTAACAAAGGTTGATCACTTTTAAAACTAAATCAATCTTGCAATTGTTTTCAGAGACAAGTTATTCTGCTTCAATAATATCACGATGTCTTGAACCTTCTACTTCCAAGTAGAAGTAATATGTGACGGCAGTCACATGTTATTCAGAATGGATATAAATGCTGTCATTATTCATTATGACAGATCCATACCCATCATATGTGCCTACTGTACTTACCACTTTGGGCAGTTTTATAACAATTATTTTCTGGTGAAGGCCATATCCCAGACATAGTCAGAGGACAGTCATGTCAACCCATATACATCCCTAAAAGATGGCAACTGGAAGAAGACATATAGAACAGCCTTACATTGTGTCCTCTAATATCACATATGATCATAAGCATAAGAATATTTCAGCAAGTGAAATTTGTTGCGTAGGCATGTGGATATGAATCTATCTTGTAGCTAAAATTGGCCCTAGATACCAATATTAGTGATTACTAGATGATTAATTAATATCTATTATAGTGATTAATAGATACCTCTATTAGTGATGCTAATAGAGAGTATATTTCACTATTTCACTAATACAGAGTATTTCACTAGTTTAAAATTTGACTATTTTGGGGCCGGGGATTTGCCTTAGTGGTTTCGCCACCTGCTGCGCAAGTGCAAGGACCTGAGTTTGATCCCCAGTACCAAAAAAAAAAAAAAAAAAAATTAACTATTTTTGACTAAATATTACTCTTCCTGTTTGTTAAAGGAAAGTTTGCCAGAAGTTAGACTCCTGGCAATATAATCCCAATGGTTCTCAGATTGCAATGATTTAGTATCATTTATAAACTCCATCAGAGAAGCCTGGCTGTACTGCAAAGACCCAGAGGCAATATGTGTCATCCTGAGAGTCAGGATCTCTATCCTCTCTGACACTGACCTGGTAAAATTCTGTGCTATTTTAGACATTTCAAAAACTACTTTTGAAATAAAAATATAGTCACAATTAGAAGTCAAATCAATCTATATTGATAGTTCAGCCTCACTTTTTTTCCCTTTTTATTTTGAAGTAATTTTAGATTTACAGAAGTGTTGCAAAAATAGTGCTGCCAGTTCTTGTACACTCTTCACCCAGACTTCCCTAATCTCAACAACTTACATACCATACATAGCACAGTTATCAACAACAGGAAATTATACTCCATGAAGCTCTGTTACACTAGGGACTTTATTTGAATTTCCCTGTCTTTCCCTAATATCCTTTTTGTATTATGGGATCCAATCCCCAATCCTACATTGCATTTACTCATCATATTTCAGTCTCCTCTACTCTGTGACAGTTCCTCAGTCTTTTCTTGTCTTTCATGACCATGCCATAAGCTAGAGGCACTCTACAGAATAACTGATCTCATCCGATGTGTCATGGTCACAGACATTAGGGAAAAAAATGGTGAAACTCAAATAAGGTCTCTTAAAGTGTCTTCATCCTCATTCTGGTAAATGTGTTATGATTAGCAGTAAGGAAATCTGGGTGAAGGATATCCTGAGACATGAGGTATTATTTTTGCAATTTTTCTATAAGTCCAAAATTATTTCAAAATAAAAATATTTTTAATGCTGTGGGTTGAAGCTAGGGCCTTGCACATGCTAATCACATGCTCTACCATTGGGCTATACTACTGGTCTCTCAAAATAAAGTACTTTTCTGAATGAGCTTTTAAGATCATATACCACTTTAAGAATAAATATATATGTATATAGTATTCTTTTCCTTTTCTCTTTTAATTTTTAGAATAACTTTGGCTGTAGTAGTAAGAAAACTCTGAAATCCATGCAATGGCTGATCCTAAAACTGCTCTACAAAATCTTGGTAGTCAGACAATTCAATTCAGAAAGTGCCCATACCCATTATAACAGCTCGCCAATCTAGCAAATCAAGAATTTGGAATGTAGAAGGAAGACCATCTTGTTCACAGCCTTTTCCACTCACAGATGAGGAAACTTAAGAGCCAGTGAGGAGAAATCATTTACCCAAAGTAACACGTATGCGGTTATCAAAACAACCTAGTGGATTCTTTTTCTGTATGGAGAAGAAGGAAATGGAGAAAACATCAAAAAGCCTATCCTTTCACTGAACCACAAGGATCTGGTGCCAACTCCTCCTTTCCTAATCCTCCCCTCTTCTATTGTCTCATCATCATTTATGTGGACTAACATTTTAAATTAAGGTTCATGTTTAGTTCATTGATAATCATTTGGAAATTTTGTTTTAAAAAAGAGGAAAGCAAGCAGGATGATTTTAATTTTTAGACAAAGTTACTTGCCTTAATGATATCAAGCTTTGCTTAACACCAAGTATCAAGTGGAGTTATCTCTGTTCCCTTGTTCCTTCTTCCCCAAACACTGCATTGCTGGGTTAGCTAGCCCGAATTGGCGTTATGATTGCAGAGTACCTCTGTAGTCAGATTC